CAAGTATTGACACTCCTTTTTCTTGCAGTTTCAGTGTGACAATTAGGAAGAAGAAACTTTAGACCAGTAGCTCCACATAGGTGTCAATAGCTAGAATGCTGGGAGAAGGTGTCTTGATGGGCTGGCCACACAAGATATGTCTCTCTAGCTTTATGTTATGCTAGCATGCTGGGCATGAGGCAGTGAGGATCATCTTGAACATGATGGTGTGGGCTATGGATCAATCTAATAACCTGGATTAGATTGAAGATCAGACTTAGGTTGGCTAAAGAGATGAGCTTTAGATGCTAGTAATGAATAAAATAGGAAGTTGACAAAGTCCATAGGTCTATGTTCAATTTGTACAATTGTGTCTTATATACCCATAATTGTGTTGCATGGTTTAGAGTGTTCAGCTTTTCATTTTTCAAGTGAGGAGTGAGGTGATACTTATCCCTTCCTCTACCGAGCCTCCCAAATTTACCTTATATTTTTCTACAACATGTGTCACTTTGGATTTATAGAAGTCCAATGCTCTAAAAAACAACCAAAAGTATAAACAACCAGGAAATCATCATTAACTTTTGGAATATAAGTATGGAGAAGTGAACAATCATCACAATTTATGTAATGTATGTGATTTTCATAGTGATTTACCATAGGATAACCACAAAGTAGAATCTAAACCCACCATATGCCACATATCATATGCCATGTGCCACATGCTAGTGAAGTGGAACCTGAGTTTCAGGGCTTCAGGCCATTGAATGAAGGTACAAAGCCAAACTCCTAAGCTTGCAACGAAGGAGCAAAGGTATCGAAGCACGGAGCAACAGCCCAAGGAGCAAAGGGATAAAAGCACAGAGTGGCTTAGGATAGTTCTAGAGCATTTAGCATCCCAATGCCAAAACTAACATGCAAAACGAAGCCAAATAGAGTTTAGTGCTATTTCAGTATATCAATGGCCTAATGCGAGAATATGGGTACTCCACCAGTTAGCATGGTGTGAAATTTGAGTTTAGACTTAAGCTAGATGCAGAACAAAAACAAGCACGTAAGCAAGACCTAATCTATGCCTTAGGTTGGTCAACCATACCCGACCTACCCACTATCCCTATCCCTACTATACATTTGGAACCAACCCCCCGCTATGGTGGATACGGGACTAACACCATTGTATTCAGAACAATCTTTACATTCTATAGATATGCTAAATTAGCAAATCTAAATACTTTCCATAAATAACACTTAGGACCAAATAAAACTAATAAAAGTGTATGATAGCGAGGGTGTTTGGTATACATAGTACGTTATCATCTAATAAATATTAAGGGACCAAGCTCAATATTGTGGGGGTTCCTAACACTAGCAAGTGCAAGTCAATAAATGAATTTTTCTAATCAGGTCAAGTATGCTTAACTAATAGTATTTAGGAATTCCGTCCTTATGTTCATCTGATCAAGTACACATACAAAGATCAGTTTCTCAATTAACTTAGGTGGAGACTAAAAAGAGATCCAGTAATATCAACCTCTTGCTGTTGTGGCAATAAGGAAAGAATATCCGAAAGGACTAGCCAACAAATAACTTTCGATACCCATAATTACATTTGCAACAACTTATAATAAACTTGCAAACAATAAGTTTTTCTAAAGGTTCTAGTAGTTTTTAGAAGCCAAAATGAACATCAAGATTTAATCAATTATAGTTTTTTTTCCATTCCAAGTCATGTTTCTTAGCTTGTGAACTCTTTTCCATTTCTGATTCATAGGAGTAGTCGACATTAACAACCATAGGGTTGTAGCCCCCTTAGAACTCACAAATACCAGCACAAACTTGGAAGAGGTGGAAGAAATGGATAATCATAGAAGCTGACAGCATATAAGAGTAATGTGCAATTACATACCTCTAAAGCTGTGTCTTGAAGTCTTTGTCAAAAAGGCTATCAAAAGGGTGTCTCTCTCTAGGTTATGCAATTGCAAGCCTGATGGTTGTTACAGCTGAATTATGTGGTAGTGAATGGCAACCCATGGAGTATCTTCTCCAAATTTTGGATTGTCAAGATAAAACAATGGATTGCTGGCTCCTCTTCTAAGTCTCACGAAGTATCCAATGTGCTCTGTCAGAAAAATAAAAAAGTTTCTTAGATGGCTTGAGTGAAGAAGGCAACTAGGGATCAACAACGAAATTGTGAGATGTGAGCAAGTTTTGTCATGAAGAAATGTTAGTGAGTTTGAGAGGCTTTGCCAACTACCTAGCATTGGCTGGGCAATTACTAGTCATAATATAAACAAAGAGCACAGCCTAAACCTTGGAAGACATGCTTTCAGGAAATATTATGTGGAAGGGCATTATTGCTTTCTTAGTTCACAGCTAACACGAGTAGTGGCTGGTGGACAGTGGTCGACAAATGCCTCCTTCTCCCATATAAAAACCTGGAACTTTTTAAAAACTCCCGGGCAGATCAAACTATGAAGGATCTACGGCCCGGGAAAAAAATCATGTATAAGGATTTAACCTTGGTTATTTGATATCAAGAGGATTTTATCTTGGGTATTTTAATAAGAAAAGGATTTTTTTGTTAATCCATATTAATTAATTGAAATATAAGTACATTTAACTTAGTGTTAAAGATGCTAGTAGAATATACTACATACCACCTGTTAGCAGAGTAGGTAGGTCATTTTCAGGAGCGAGAGCCCACTCGGTGAGACGTTGCGTGCTACTTAGGTAAACGTGGTAGAATGCCGAAACTACCTCTAGGTAAAAAGAAGCGTCCCTTAGCTACTGATCTTGCTTCTGGGAGGCAATCAACTCTAAATTTTTGGAAAGCTGCTGTGCAAACAGAGATTGAGAATGATATTGAGGAACTAGATGATGATGCAACATCAGGGCATTTTAAGGAGCATTGGAAGCAGAGCTACTGTTGGTTAGAATTTGATGCAATTGAAGGCACAATGTTTTGCAAGATTTGTAAGGCAAATCCACGAACTAAGAATATTTTTGGCAAACAGGGTAGTAGTAATTTTCGAAAAAGTGCCTTACGCAGTCATGCTAGCTCTGAAGATCACAAGGAGTCTGTATTTGCTGAGGAGGTGCATCATGGGAAGCAGCAATCGATTTTAGAAGTTACAACTAAACATCTACACCATGCTGAACAAGAGGTGCTTGTGTTATTTCGTTCTGCTTATTATATTGCAAAAGGATTTGCTCCATTCACTCGTTTTCCAAAGCTGATTGAACTTCATCGACTTAATGGGATGAACATTCCAAGATATTACGACAATGACAAAGGTTGTTCACGACTAATAACTTCTATTAACGAGGTATGTTTATGAGACCATGTTAATTGATTCTAACATGGTTCATGTTTCACTTCAGGTTATGGTTAAAAATATCTTACAAAAAGTCAGGGAAAGTCCTTATTTTGGATTGATGGTGGATGAATCGACTAATATAAGGTATTCCTTAATTTGGATTTATTAGTTTTCTTACGATTTGATTTATTTTTAGCACTATGAAGCATTTGATCTTTTACGTGACTTACATCGAATGTGGTTGTGTGAAGACGAGCTACTTGGGGATTGTCAACATTGGTGATAGTGGTGCAGCAAGTATCTTTAACTGCATTAGTGATATGCTTAAGCAATGGAACTTAGATATGCAGCGGTTCATGGGTTTTGGTTCAGATGGATGTAATGTCATGGCTAGTAGCAGGACAGGGGTAGCAACCAGGCTAAAGGAGATTAATCCCTTCTTAAGCAGTGTTCACTGTATGGCACATCGAGCCAATTTATGTGTGGATCCTTCAGCCTTCATGGAAGAGTATTCAACTTGGAAGCTGCTTGCCTCAGAGGAATGGAAAGGACGAAATTTTATTGATATATGGAGCATCATACATAGTCAAGCAAGTTGGGCAGAGAGCTTTCCAAACTTGCTTCGAGTTGGTGAAATTGGGATGGTGCAGTGTGTTAGCACTGCAAGTTGCGAGTGAGGTTTTAGCAGAATAAACTTGATCAAGAACAAGTACAGAAATTAGATGAGTACTGAAACAATTGATGCTCTCGTAAGGATTTCAATTGAAAGTCCTGAAATTCAGAAGTTTAACTTTGATGAAGTTGTGGACCACTGGAAAAAAACTGCACACTATCGACAAATTTTCTCACAATTGTAAGCTTGTTTAACCTTATGTTTTTATTAATAAAAGGATTTTGACTTGAGAAAATTTTGATTAGAAGGTTTAATCCTGGGAATTTTGAAATATCCTTGGAGGTTAAACTCGAGGAGGATTTTTGCTTTGGAAGGTGAAAGGATTTGTCGAACGCTGCTGGTGGATCAAAAGCGCAAGTGAGCTAAGCACTTGGTGATGTGCCAAGCCATTTACTTTTCCGAGTGGCTCTTTCTCCTTGATACAGAAAATCCAGTGGGGGAGTACTAATCTTAATTCCACTCCCGAATGAAAACCCAGTAAATATGACACATGTGACATGTATGTCAAGGAAGTGGGGCAAAAAGGATTGGCACACTTGCTCTTCTCTCGTGCTGCAACCAAGCGTGGAGTGTGCTATGAGTTTGCATCCTGCACTCTGGCGTGGAGCTCTCCATGGGGATCCAGCTACCGAATCATCCATGGCAAAGCCAAGAGCAGGGTTGCTGCTGTGATCTATCACATCGGATTCAGCAAAAGTGACAATAGATACTCATCAACTTTGTCATACATTGTAGTAGTAGCTACTTTACTGTGAGAACATCATTTCAAGATGCAAGAATGAGGTTGGTTTTCAAGAGTTGCTTTCAGGCGAGTTCTACCACAAACTTTATAAGACACATTTGTATGGTGCTAAAGGAATTAGGAAAAAAGGCACCTCAAAGGTATGCTAATGGATAATGGATCGATATTTTTTCGTTTTACCCTTATTTAAAACTCATGGGTTGACATAGTTTTTTACTATCGTGGCAAAAACTGGTTGCGAGAGTGGTCGTGAGTCGTCACAATCATCTTCGGGTGGGTTCGAGATCACTTGCACAACATTGGATAACCTTAGTTTAGTTAAACCAGAAATCACTGAGCCTTAAGCAAAGCGTTAGTATATTTCAACAATCTATTCTATCAGTGCCGCGAGATTTTCCGACGATAGCCACTGTAAGATCACACGATGGTTAATTCCGCAGAAGAGAGTCGAGTCAACATTACCGGAAAAGAAAAACGCTTGAGAGTCCATACGAGTTCTCCTCCTCCATTTTCTCATTGACTTGACCTGAAACAACGAAAGAGATGATAACTTGCCTTTACGCAAAGCATACCTTTATGCATGTTAGATCGTCCCTCGCGCTTCTCCTAGCTAGACTCTCAACAGAGGAACTCTAAGAAATCCACACTTAGAAGACAATCATACAAGGGCATGAAAGTCTTACTTTGATCGAAGCTCACATATCATCCACGTACTGGATCTCTCCCATGAGCATTCGGTTGCTCGCGACGCTGAATCCCAGAAGAGACGGGTCCACTATCTTCTTGCCTTTCTTTGTTTTCTTCTTGGAAACAGTCTGACTGCCTCCCTCGACTTTGGTATCGCTTTTAGGCCCGCTGTTGAATACTTGGAGCATCTGCGGTGTCATGAGCTCCCGACACCGTAAGAATTCGCCTTTGAAAGCCTGGGCGTCGGAGCTTTCTCCAAGATACTGAGTCAGGGAACGCTCCGCCTCAAGCACGGACGGGAGCGAAACACAGTAATCAAGCTGCCTCATATCTTCCACCACACAAAGAAAGAAAGCGATCAGATTCCATGTATCAGAAAGCCCAAGCACGTACCACTGCTGCCAGTAAGTTCCTTGATTTGTGTCTCACACCAGCTTCGAAAGGACTTTACATCAGCAGCCGTGAGAAGACTTTGTGGAGCGAGGGGCATCACAGAGCCTGCATCTCAAGTTTAAGAAAACAGAATCACCTCAACCGAGAGATTACCTTGCTGGTTGCTCGGAACTAATCCGTTCGAAACAATATCTACAAGACTGTCCACAAGCAGCGGTTAGAAACCAGCTAGGACTAAAAAAGAGGAACACTTACTCAGGTTTTACATTCGTTGGCGCTGAATTCTCACTAGTTAAGAAATCCTGTATTCCTGTGTGAACTCTGCTTTGTGAGGCGTCAGCTTGCAAAGGTCTGGTGGATGACATTTGCATACCGTTCTCGAGCTTCCCAGCTTGCGTGCTAGACAAGTCCACGGGAGTCGCTAGCTTCATCTTTCTGTTCTCCACCTCTCTAACAGGCGCATGAAAACCATCAGACACGAAGCCATCATAGGAAGGAAAACTACCAGATAGGAACCCCTTTTGCACTTCAACTCCCTGTTGATTCAGAGGTGCTGAGTGCTTCAAGTAGCTGTCTGGCATACTAGCAGGGATGTTGTTACTGAACACTCCATTGTGCTGCAGTCCACCCCGCCACTTGAAGTTTTCAGGCTCTGCCGTGTTATTCCAGAGTGATGGCTGCAGCTCACGTTCTATTGATACTTTTCTTTCGTGAAGTTGCTGGTTCCTCATTAGTTGCTGAAGCATGTACTCCTGAGATGACAAGCCCTGACGATCCATCTTATGGTTGTGTACCACCTGATCCGCTATTCCCAAACCCAGAGAAGCCTGATTGCGCTCTAAGCTCTTCAAATACTGCTCTTGCATCATCTGCTCTTCCCATGACGGTATCCGAGAGGATGGATTTCCTGCCCCTGATATGATAGCCTGAAGTGCCTCCTTTGTTAAACCTTGATGAACTTCATTCCTTGGTTGCGGAAAAAAATTCTCGCTGGAGACCCTCTGCAACCCCGCAAGCGTCTGGAGTTCCAGCTGCTCAAGGCGATCGCGCTCTTCGAAACCATGGCCAGGAAGACGATCGTCTCGAGCATATAATGCCGGCAAACTGGACTGATGCTGCAGTCTAGGCTGGTGCATGTTATCCATAACTCGCATCGGATATCCTGAATCGTCAACCTTCCAGACTCCAGATATACGCCTCTCCGGAAAGTTTTGAGGTGCACTCAGGAGTCTACTGAGCTCACGCTCTTGCTGTTTCTGCTGCAAAAGGTGCATAAGAACATCTTGTTGATGTCTCGACTGCATGAGCTGAAGATACTGATCGGACAGCGAGTTTATCAGCCTCTCTTCCTGTTGTTGCATGATCTGCTTCTCGATGCCATAAAGTCCGGGATGGACTTGTTGCTGTTCGTACTGATACGGAAGCTGTTCCATTAGGAGTTGCTCGCGTCGAAGAGGGTCCATAATAAAGTCCGACATAGAGCGCTGTAAGTTTTTGGTGTGAAGAGGAGAGTGATCTGATACAGCTCCGGGTTGCATGTGGAAGTCGAGGGATGAATGCTGTACTTGTTGCCTGGCGAGGGCTTGGGCTTGCTGTTGACGCGCGAGCTCAAGCTCTTCCAGCTCGTGGACAAACGACCGTGGAGGTTTCTCCATTTGCATAAAAGGCTGGACAAGGTGTTCATCCTTTCGACCAGCAGCGACAATGCTGTCGTCTGGAAGTGAACCCGGCACTTGAGGATGAAGAAACGAAGATAATAGCTGCCCAGAAACCTCCGTCTGACTAGCGATCGTCTTTTGTTTATCAGCATTGTCTTTACGCTCGTCTGCTAGATAAAATGGCCTAATATCAGAGAAGCCAGATCCTGAAAATAGAGAAGTACCTCTTGCTGTCTCGATAACTGCTGTTCGCTCGGTAGTTTGAACAAGTTGCGGCATGACGCTCCCGAGAGGAATAAAAGGACTGCCTTCTGGAGCAGAAGCGTCTCGCACGAGTAGATCCGGCCCAAAATAACCCGCCTCGTACCACTGAAGGATGTCACCACTTGAGAAAGGGCCTTGAACATCTCCTTGCGGATCCACATATAAAAGTTTTAACGTCTCAGGCTCAGGCGGCACAACTTGCTTTTCCTTCTCCGCTACATCAACCTGCTGTAATTTAATATCCTCAGCGAAAGTTTCTAAAGGAGGCTCGACGTGTTTCACTTCATCGGTGATCTCAGTTGGCGAAGAATATTCAGTAATAGAGGTATCGATAGTGTCGATTTTCTCATCCACCAGCTTCTCTTCATCTGTAACGAGTTTTTTTTGTAGAATTCGTATTTGCAAACTTGTGACCCTACCTGGAAGAACAGAATCCATTCTCGACGTAGCCTCAGAAAGCCTCTTACTTCTACCATTCGAACTGATGCTGCTCACAGTTTTACCCTTCCAAATGCTTTCCAAAACAAGCTGAAACAGCAAGACAAAAGTTAGGAAACGTAAATTCTTAGCTGAACGAACCTGTTCCTCGGGATTTGGAGTAACAAAAGCCAAAGGATCCATTGGGGAAGACTCAGAAACCTCCGACACATCTGGGCTAAGTTCCTTCTCGGTAAACCCAGAGGCTCCGCCACACTTCCGATATATATCCAGCAACTTGGCTCTTGGATACTTGAAAGAGTTGCCTGGCTTCTCAACGGTTGGTGGAGGAGCCCCAATGTGTCCTCCACTCAACGCAGCACTGTAAGACCCAAGAGTAGTACCACTCGCTCTTCCACGACCAGCAGCAAAGCCAACAGACCCCACTCCCCGGCCTCGGCCAGCACCAAATCCTGGAGCAGACTTTGGTAGAGCAGAGGGCGCGGGCGAACGACCTGCCAGCCACTTCTCTCGACGAAACTCCTTCTCTTTGTCGTCCGGACCCCATCGGTTGCTCCACTTTCCATCTCGTCTCGAGTCATAAGCATCCCGATCACGATTGACAGGCTCCACCCAGCGATCTCTGCGAGTTCCTACAGTTTCCCGTTCGTCTTCCCGCCAGCGCTCACGATCCGGCGTTCCAATGCCAGGAGATAAAGTTCGCCACCAATCTTTCTTCTTGTCCCCATCCCCACGCTTGGAATCCGGGTCACCTCCTTTCGGAGTGGACGGAAGTTCCTGAGAACAAGTAAATAGTGTGTGAATTCTACTGGCAAAAAAATCAAAAGAGCTTACCGCGGGGAGCTTTGTATCACCATGCTTGGCAGACAACCACTGCGGCGACAGTGGAACTGTAGAAATTGATGTGTAAAGTCAGAACAAACTGGATCTAGAATACGAGGCGCATACCAGCATGCTTGTAGCTATCGTCCATCATCGTAGCGCGAGAATTTCCAGAGCAATCCACCGATTTCGCTTCCAATTGCTCGCAAACCCTAAACCCTATGACATCCTGGGCGAGGATCAAGAAGCCCTAGCTCCGAGCCGCTCCAAACCCTATCGCCTCGATCGATTCCTACAACAGCGCGCGCGCCCAGCGCAAACCCTATGTCACGCGCAATGGATCGCGGAGAGAAATTCTTCGCTATCTCCACCACCGGGCGCTCACCGCTCGCAGACAGGCAATCCCGAGAATCAGATACCCTATAGGCGATCGCTGAGAAACGGGACCATAGAATAAGGGCATATTCACTCCGGGAAGTAAAAAAATTGTAAATCTTTTGAAAGATGCTGACCTAATTCTCGCCGCCTCTTCTTTGATATGAATGTGGCGCTAGCGCAAAGCGTTCGTCCTAGAACTCACTGCCTCGATCTAATCCAGTCCTGCGACACCCTTCCAGGGGCTCGAGCTATCCATTCTCGCGTAAATTCTTCGATCGATCCCAGAGACGTCTTCGTTTTTAACAAGCTCATCGAGCTATACGGGAAATGCCGGAGCTGGGAAAGCGCTCGAGGAGTCTTTGATTCCATTCCCCCAAATTCCAAGGATCTCTTCTCCTGGGACTTGATGCTAATTTCCTACACACGAAATGGGCAGCTCGACCACGCTAGCCGCTTCTTATCTTCCCAGATGCCTTTCCATAGTCTCATCTCTTGGAACTTGATGCTCTCCGCATATGCTCAGGCTCGGAATATCGACGAAGCACAGCTCCTGTTTACTCAAATGCCCGAGAAGAATCTTATCTCGTGGAATGCCATGCTCACAGTATATGCCCAAAGTGGGCATCTACAAACCTCCATTCTGCTCTTCGAAGAGATGCCAGTGAGAAGCCTCGTGTCGTGGAATTCACTTCTAACGGGATATTCCCAAAATGGGAATCTAGCCCAGTGCAGGGAGCTCTTTGATTTCCAGCCAGAGCACAATGTCCTCTCCTCTACCATCATGCTAACAGCATATGCTCAGGACGGGCATGTTGAGCTCGCCATGCGTGTATTCTCTCAAATGGAGGAACGGAATCTCATCTCCTACACGGCCATTCTCGTCGCACATACCCAGCTCGGCTCCACCCAAGATGCCGAGAGATTCTTCTTCGATTTTATGCCGGAATGGGACTTGGTGTCCACCACCACGATGATCACCGAGTTTGGCAACTATGGAAGACTCGAAGAGGCACAAAATCTCTTCGAGGCTCTGCCCGAGCAAAACCTCGTCTCGGAAACCGCGATGCTGGCGGCGTATTCCCAGAACGGAAGCTTGGAACAGGCAAGGAATCTTTTCGAGCGGTCGATGCGGCAGTGGGATCACATCTCCTTGAGTGCCATGCTCTCGGCCTACGCGCACAATGGGTGCTTGGAGGATGCCCAGGGGATATTTGATCGGATGGAGCACCTCAGCCTCACGGCGTGCAATGCGATGCTCACGGCACACGCTCAGAACGGAAATCTCGAGCGAGCAAGGCAGATTTTCGACGCGATGGGCAGTAAAAATCTAGTGTCGTGGAACGCAATTCTATCAGCATATGCCCAATGCTTGTATCTTGACGAGGCAAGAGTTGTGTTTGATTCAATGCCAGAACACGATATGATATCGTGGAATTCAATTTTATCCGCAACGGCACAACACGGTAATATGAATGATGCAGAATATTTGTTTGTGAAGCTACCATATCAAACGTCGCTGTCTTGGAACACCATGATCACTGCAAATGCCCAAGTCGGGCATCTTCTTGAAACGACGAAAATGTTTGACGAGATGTGGGAGAGAAATGTTCTTTCGTGGACGGCGGTGTTGACTGCTCACTTCCACCACGGTCAATCAGACGAAGCTCTCCTTGTGTTTGACTCCATGAAACTGGACGATGTAGTACCAGACGAGATTTGCTTTGTGCTCGTCCTGCTAGCTTGCAGCCACGCAGGGAAAGTCTTCCTGGGGCGATGTTACTTCCAGTCGATGATGGCGGATTTCGGAATCCAGCCCTCTAAGCAGCACTACTGCTGCGTCCTAGACGTGCTTGCGCGATCCGGACATTTAAGCGAGGCTAGAGATCTCATCAAAGCCATGCCTTTCAAGGCGGATGCCTCGGACTGGAGGTGCTTGCTAGGAGCTAGCAGGAGTTACAGCAATCTCCACGTTGGGGCCGACGCTGCCAAGACGATCCTCGGCTTGAATCCGCAGGACTCGGCCTCTTACGTGCTCCTCGCAAACATGTATCGAGCACGGGAAGAAAATTCCGCCAGCGATTCAGCCCAAGTAAACGCACCCGACTGAGCTCTCGGCCTCAATCTCGAGAACCGACCGTGACGCTTGAGCAGCTCCACGATCCATGCCTTTGCTTGCTTGCAAGCTTGCAAGAAGCTCGTCCTCACGGACGCGGGACGAAAGGCATGGTCGCGATGAGCTCCTCCGAGTTTCGCAACCTGCCGGATCGCGCGAGCGCGTCCACCATGCAGCTGTAGTGCTGCTTGGACCCTCGCAGCACAAAGTCACCGATCATCGAAACGAGGCAGCATCGCCCATCCTCGGTTTTTCCTCGACGGCTGCAAGCGATCAAGGCCGACACGAAGCACACTTCGTCCACCATATCCAGCAGCTTCATCTCTCCAAACACTCGATGGCTTCGCGGTAGCGGCCATTGTGAGCGTTGGCTGCAAGAACCGGCCCAGGTCACCATTCCTCGATCTGGCAGCGTCTCAAAGATGAGGTTTGCACACAGTTGTGATAAGCCGTGAGCATTGCGTTCCACGAGACTCTGTCCCGCTCGGGCATGCTGGAAAAGAGGAGCCTGGCTTCGGTGACATGCCCGTTCTGGGCATACCGGGAGAGCATCACACATTATCTTGGCGTCATTCAATCGTCCAGCACAAGATCATGGTCGGGAATGGACTCCGCGGCTTCTTCAAGCTGGTGCTCCTGGGATCTGGGAATAGGCTGTGAGAATCGTGGTCGCCGAGACGATGTTCCGCTCTGGCATTCGATAGAACAGCTCCCCAGCTTTGTGTGGGCGAAGCCCGAGAGGAGAGTTCCATGAGATTAGATCCCTCTGCCGCATTCGATCAAACAAATGCTTGCTCTCGTCCCCTGCGAATCGCGACTAAACCGGGAGAAGACGCCAGGCGATGGACGGGAGGATCGAAAGGCATCACGCAATTGGTCGCGAGTTCGAACCTCGCTGAAACCAGCAATATCTTTTGAGAGTGCCAATAGACTTCCTTGCGTTGGTGTGAGACTATGTTGTTTGATGACTCACATTTGCTCACAATCGCTACTTTGATGGTTTTATTTAAGAAAATTTTATTCCTGTTTGAGGCATTCCGGCAAATGCCCCCGAATGGCACTTTGACGAGCATAGCACAAAATGGCTCTTTACACCTTACCGATAAAATGCCGGTGGGAAGCACGTATTTAAATTTGAGGGCTCCTCCCAAGCTCATATCTTTGTGGACGGGATGAGGAAGAGGGGAGGTGGTGTGCGCGCTGGAAGGTTGGATTTCTCTCTCTATTCGATGCTCGATTCTGTCCCTGTGATGGATTTCTCTTCACTCCTCCCTCTTGCCAAAGCTCGATAATCTTTCTATCGGGAGATTCTTGCCTTTGCTCGGCCGATCGGCTTGCATATAGACTGCGTTGGCTTCAGATCAGACGCTGTGGCTGGCGATGGAGATACCCCGGAGGTGGAGATTGGATCTCATTGCCTAGGTGTGTTTCCCAGGCAGAAAAAGTGAAGTACTCCTCGTCCCATGTTTAGCGTCTTCTATACAGGATATATCATGAGAGCTTTCGAGACTTTGTGATTGAATTGCCTAGAACAACTTACAACCAGTAGCTCCTTCTCAATGGTGGCTGACACTAAACAGGATTCATTATATATTTTCTTTCCTTTTTCATTTTATAGTGTCATCCATGTGGTACGATAGTTGCTCCTTTGTAACTTCTCGACAATGTGTCGTCCAACTTCGTTCACTCAATGGTCGCCTTTTAACACTAGTTTAATATCTAGTTTCTCATATATGAAGAGGCTACAAGGTCAAGGCTTCTTTGGATCACAAGGTTTGTTTCAATTGTAGCTTGATGTGCTGTACTTTCATTTATCATTGTTTTGCACGTGCCCAAAGAGAAAGTTCGGCTAGGAATTTAGGATTGGTATATTTATTTTGAGGAAAAAACTTGACCAAATCAGGTTGGTTATCCAAGCTCTCTAGTTCTGCATACTTTCTTTCACATTCAGTTCAAAGCATCAAACCCTCCTCAAATGCTCTCTTTGTTGACTCGTCCCCAAGCCACCTTCACCTAACGAGTTAGCTGTTGCTTCCTTAAGGTCTTCCTAGGAAAATATTTTGAAAGATGGAATGGCCCTAGTGATCAAGAGAAGGCGTCAAAGAGTCAATACGGTATGGATTAGGTAGCTGCCGCTTGGGAAGCAAACCAGAGACTAACGATGGGCAAAGTGGTCCAGTCTCTCAAGATGGTGCAGCATAGCAACAGGAGTGGATGTCGGGCAACGTTCGAGACTCTTGAGCGCCAAACAAATTTAGGGTATAAAGCAGGCATGGATAAGGGTAGTGTGCGAGCGACAAGCATGATCTGTGCTATGTTACATGAGGTAAGAGAGCAAGATCCAGGATTACAAAAGGATGTTAGTGATCACCATTCATTGCTAAAGCCAAATGCTCAAGAAATTGAAGGCAATCAAGGTGCCATTGGAAAAGAGGCTTTGGTAATCTGGGGTTTGGAGAAAGCTATGCCCATGTGGAAATTAACCTTACCTTTGGATGTCCAGCTTGTTTATACCTGTGCATCCCAACAAACCACCTTAATCCAAGCCACACTCAGGTATATGATAACTCTTATGAAGCATCACTATTAATAAAATCTTGCAGCTTTGTAATATAAAATTGGCAAGTGATTTGAGAGTCTTAGAACGGTATAGGATTTTGGCCAATGAAGAGATTGAAGTAGTTTTATTTCAAACTTTCTATAGTTGAGTTTTTTGGTTTGTGTAAACAAAATCTAGTGGATATATTTAAAATATGGAATATGTGTGAGACACAAACCCTTAAGCCCCAAGTGGAGCCGAAAGGGTGCCACGTGGTAGTGGCGGAAGCGAAAGCCAAACAAGTATAATATGTTTAAACTAAAAGCTTCAACTTGAAAGGTCAAGAGTGAGAGTGGAACTCCCATTGGAGTGCTCAAGGAACGAGCATG